GGCTTGGCGTGGCTTTTCTTGAGACTGGCCTAGCCCAAGCAAGGAGTCCACCCACCGTGAACCACAGCACTGGTGTCTCCAGGAGACGTCTGGTCAATGAGGGGACGGAACGGGGGGGTAGGGGCCCGAGGCTGGAGGTGTGTCTCCCTGGGTGAGCATGGGCGGCTTCTGGGGGAGCCTTGAGAGAGAAGGGGTTGGGCGGAAGTCCACGGCTTTTCTTGAGACTGGCCTAGCCCAAGCAAGGAGTCCACCCACCGTGAACCACAGCACTGGTGTCTCCAGGAGACGTCTGGTCAATGAGGGGACGGAACGGGGGGGTAGGGGCCCGAGGCTGGAGGTGTGTCTCCCTGGGTGAGCATGGGCGGCTTCTGGGGGAGCCTTGAGAGAGAAGGGGTTGGGCGGAAGTCCACAAGCGGGGAGGGACCCTCCGCCATGCCTTTCTGCCTTTCAGATCTGCACAAAGTGTGTTCGCTGCAAGAGTTGTGGGGCAACGACCCCAGGCAAAGGGTGGGACGCCCAGTGGTCTCACGACTTCTCTCTCTGCCACGACTGTGCCAAGCTCTTCGCTAAAGGTGCGTTGGGGAAACGCGGGGATGTGGAAGCTGCCACGTGCCAGAGCCTAGGACGGGCACGTGGCTGCTGCTCCATGAGCAGATGCGCAACGTGGGGTGGGGGTGTCGCCCGTTGAGTCGACGGACCAACTGACCGATCAGTCAAGGGCAGAAGGGACCGGAAGCCACCCTTGCCCTTGGGGGGGGGGCTCTCTGGTTGGCCAGTTGCCCCCCCCCTTGGTGGGAGTGCTGATGGCCGGGTGGCTCCTGTGTTCGGCGTGCAGGGAACTTCTGCCCCTTGTGCGACAAGTGCTATGACGACGACGACTACGAGAGCAAGATGATGCAGTGCGGGAAGTGTGACCACTGGGTGCACTCGAAGTGTGAAAACCTCTCTGGTGAGGCGCCGGGCAAGCGAGGAAGAGGAGGGTGGCAGCGGCAGCTGCCGGCCAGAGGCTTACCCCGGAGATCCCCCTTGACCAGTTCCTCTGGGCAAGAGAACCGGATTGGGGTGGGAGTCCCAGGAGGGGAACACGGGCAGGTTGCAACAGGAGAAGAGAGAAGCCTGGATGGGGGGCGGTCAGGTTTCCGCTGCAGCTCAAGAGCCCTGTGCAGATCAACCCAGACCCCTAGCCGTTCTGACCATGCGTACATTTTCTGTGCCCCCTAGAGGTGTAAGCCCCTACGCCATCCCGAAGTTGACCCCTCTCGCTTGTCCTCCTGTGCCCTGAAACCTGCCCTTGCCCCACATCGGTCAACGTCCCTTATGGATATTCTGAACCTTCGCATTCCTGCTTTAACTCTGGCCGTTTCTCCCTTCAGACGAGATGTACGAGATCCTTTCCAACCTGCCTGAAAGCGTGGCTTACACCTGCATAAACTGCACAGAGCAGCATCCGGCCGAGTGGCGGCTGGCGTTGGAGAAGGAGCTGCAGCTTTCATTGAAGCAAGTTCTAGCTGCCCTGCTTAACTCGAGGACCACCAGCCACTTGCTGCGCTTCCGACAGGTGAGCCTTGCTCTTCACCTGCACCGAGCAGGTGTCTAGGTGCATCTGAATTCTGGCTGTGCTTTGGAAATCAAGCCATCTTCCATCTGTCTTGAAGAAAAGCACGGCTAGCAATAAATGGCCGGTTCTGGCAGAAGACAGTGGCCCCACGAGTGTCAGAGAGAGGGGCGTGGAGCAAAGAGTCACGCCGTAGCTGAGACAAAAAGAGTGGGATCCTGCACCCCCCTCCCAGGGGAAGCCAGGGCAGCACTGGAACCCTCGTGGCAACCACTGCCTGGCCTTTTCCCCCGGGCCTTCTGAGGAGCCAGGGACAGGACACAGAAGGAGCTTGCTTAGGTCCCGTGAACACAGGCCCCTGCCTTACTCCCAGAGGCCGATCGCTTCTGGCTTTATTCTCCTGATATTTTCCTTGCAAACCTCTTTCCTGTTCTCTACCTTTCCCGAAGTCTCCTCCTGCTGCACAAGGTGTCCGCAAGACACCTAAGGCAGGGCGGGGCAGGGGTCCCACGGGAAGAGAGGGGCTTTAGGGCTGGCCGCTTCTCTATCCCCAGCATCCACGCGAGGGAATGGACCTGGGGCCAGCTGTTGAGGTCAGATCTGGGCTGCCTTCCTCTGCCCTTGTTCCCCTGCACCTCCTTTGAGGTGCCTCCGGGGGGGGGCATTGATGGGGTGCTGATCCGAGGCCCGCGGGGCTCTTTTCATCCGTCGCAGGCAGCCAAGCCACCCGACTTAAACCCAGAGACGGAGGAGAGTCTCCCGTCCCGAAGTTCTCCAGAAGGCCCTGACCCGCCGGTGCTCACCGAAGTCAGCAAGCAGGAGGAGCCGCGGCCGCTGGACCTGGAGAGCGTGAAGAGGAAAATGGACCAAGGAGGCTACGCCTCTGTGGTAGGTCCCCACCTGAGCAGCCTCTCCTCCGCCGCTTCAAGGAGAGTTGCAGGTGGCCATTCCGCAGGTGGGGAAGGAAAACAAAGGGGAGGTCTTCAGAGGTGGCCTTTAAACGGCCTGTTTTTGCTGTGATTTCCTCCCGGAGGAGTCCGGCAGGCCTGGCCTTGGGCAGCTGCACTCCTGTGCTGCTCATGGGTGGGGGGAGGAGGGGAGGGGAGGGGAGCTGGAGGAACGGGTTACGTGCGTGTGCGTGCACATACACACACATTCACACATGTGCATACACAAGTGCTGAGGAGGGGAGACTGGCCCTTTGCCCTTTGAGGTTCACCCCTGGGGGAGGAGGAGGAGGAGGAGGAGGCGTGAGCGACCAGATCCTCCTTTCTGTTTCAGTTGGAGTTCAGCGACGACGTTGTCAAGATTGTTCAGGCAGCCATTAATGCCGATGGGGGGCAGCCGGAACTGAAGAAGGCCAACAGCATGGTGAAGTCCTTTTTCATCCGGGTGAGCCCACTTGCACTCTCGCTTCGAGGAGAGGCTGCCAGCTTTGGGCGGGGGGGGGGTTCCACAGACAGCACCTTTCCCCATGAAACAAACAGGGGCCTCAGCTTGGCAGACATCCAAGTCCAGAATGGGTTCTTCTTGCCTGAATTTGCATAGGTCCTTGTGAAATGTTAAATGTGGAGATTTTACAAAATACTTCTAATAAAGCCTTGGTGTTCCTCCCCTCCCGGTAGCAAATGGAGCGGGTTTTTCCATGGTTCAGTGTCAAGAAATCAAGATTCTGGGAACCAAACAAAGTCACCACCAAGTAAGAGATGCTTCTGCTTTCAGTAGCCCCTTCCCTGCTGCTGTTGGTCTGCTGGCTCTTCAGACCGGAGGCGCTGCTGCCCCTCATACCCTGAAAGGGACACCAGAGTTCACTCCCGTTGGGGGGGGGGCAGGGACTCCAGCTTCTCACCGCCAGTCCCTGTGCTGAGTTCCCACTCCAGAAGGAAAACCGGGTGGTGGGTGGTGGGGGTGTGCTCTCCTTGGCTGTCGTATGCTTCGTTCACCACAAGAGGAAATGGGATGTTCCCATTTTCTTGTTAGGCTGGAATTGGATAGGGGCGGGATGGAGTGGGGTGGTGATGGGCCTGATGTTGGACCCCAATCTCTTGCTTCCTTCCAGCAGCGGGATGCTACCCAATGCGGTCCTGCCTCCCTCCCTGGACCACAACTACGCCCAGTGGCAGGAGCGGGAAGAAGACACTGGTGCTCAGCAGCCACCCTTGATGAAGAAGATTATCCCAGCTCCCAAACCCAAAGGCCCCGGAGAGCCAGACCTTCCTGTTCCCCTGCATCCTCCTACGCCGCCCGTCTCCAGTGAGAGAGCTCACCTCTGGTTTTTCGGGAGCAAGGGAGATGCAGGGGTGGGGATCTTGCCCAGCACAAACCATGTGGGGGGGAGGGGCGGGTTGGGGGTCCTTCCGCCTGACGCACTTCTCCTCCTAAGTCCAGAAGGAGTCTCTTTCTGCCTGCTGTGCGCCTGTGTGGTTGGTCTGGCTTGCTTTCCCTTTTCAAGGGAAGCAGAAGCTCCATGAAGCGAGCCGGGCCAGTGGGCTTCTTCTTTGGCTTTGGTGAGCTGGATTGTTTCTCCAGCAGTCTGTTTCCAGCCTGCGCTTCCTCCCAGTTGTGAATGGGGGGGAGATGAGCAGCTCTGTTTTTGCTTCGAGGTTCTGACAGAAGCCAGGAGGACAGTCCAGAACTTGGGCCCCCTCCAGATGTGGAAGACAACAGGCAGTGTGCGCTTTGTTTGAAGTACGGTGATGATGAAGGGAACGTAAGTAGCTTTGAGGGGAATTTTTGTTATGAGGAGGACAGAGCAGGCCGGGGTGGGGGTGGGGGTTGTGGAGTCTGGGGTCTCCCTGTCACCCTCCAGCCCATAAATTGCTTCCCCCTAAATAATCATTTTTTTTAAAGGAACTGAAAATCATTTCTGCCAGCTTCCCAGCCATTGATGCAGCTTATCTGTGACTATTCCGTATTTATTCCAACTTGCTGTAGGTCACTCCCTGGGTGGCCAGTCGGGTTGGACTTCGGCCCTTGGCCCTGCTGAGATCAACTCCCTGTCCTAAGGGGCAAAAAGACTTTGCTGCAGCCTTTAAAATTGAATGTCTGTACCTTAACTGATTAAGAAAGTCAGTTTCTGACCACTGGTTAACCGAAAAGGAAGCCAGGAAATATTTACTGCAGGACAAGATGTTTCCATGTAGTGGAAAGCAGTTAAAGTCAGAAACTACAGTTTTAAATAGATATAAAAAAAGTATATTTGAACGTTCAGCCTGGAGGCAGGCGGTGCATCACGGCCTCTCCCATTTGGAAGAGACCCTTGTCCAGCAGGCCGAGGCCAAGAGGCAGTCCTGAAAGCAGCAAAATCAGGGAGCTGGACAGGGGACAGATTGTATTGGTCTTCAGTATGGAAGGGATTGCAATCTCAGATTGGCCTTCTCAGCCACACTAGACGCTGTTCCAAGTCCTCTATTCAGGGCACGTTGCCGTGGTCTCTTGAGACTGAAGGATGCCTAATCTAAAAGGTATAAAGAGGGTTAAACATTCAGTGGCTGAAATCCTGCTGAGGAAAATGGCGTAACCTTACCTGCATCCTGAGCTACTCAATATGGCCTGTGGCAGATCATGTGGCAGGGTCGCCCCTTTTGCATAGCACCACAAGTGCTTCAACTACTGTGTTGGCAATATTGAAATAAAAATAAGGTTGCAGTTGTGAGGCCTGGAAAGGGGACTGAAAACCGGATGGCCTGTTTTTCATGGGGTGGGAGACACAGAGGGGGGTGGGTGGGTGGGTGGGTGTACTCACTCCCTGGGTAGCCAGTCCGGTTGGACTTCGGCCCTTGGACCTGCTGAGATCAACTCCCTGTCCTAAGGGGCAAAAAGGCGAAAGGCCCGGCGCACTCCATCCTGTTGCACGACCGTCCCAGCAGGGCCTTCTCTTAGTGGGGTTTTCTTCATTGCTGCTTGTTTTTCACTTGCCGGGTAGAGTGAGAGATATTGCAGCTGCAGTTTATATCTGATACCAGCTGAGCATTTGACAAGCATTTTCCTGGAAATATTTTTCACCTCCCTGGATAGATGTGGGCTAGGGGATAAATGCCATGGGAAGGATTCAGCCCTGACCCTTTGCTGCTCCTTTTCCAGTTAGGGGGGCAGGATGGCCTCTCCCGCCCCCTCACTACTCACGGTGCTTTGGACCTCCTGAATCCTTAGTGCCTGGGGGGCCTTTTGCTTTGATACAGGATGCGGGTCGTCTCCTGTATATTGGGCAAAACGAGTGGACTCATGTGAACTGTGCCCTGTGGTCAGCTGAAGTGTTTGAAGACGACGACGGCTCATTGAAGAACGTCCATGTGGCTGTGATCCGAGGGAAGCAGCTGGTGGGTAGGAAGGATTCCTGGGGAGTAAAGTGTTGCCTGACTTCTAATGGTCTTGCTTCAAGAAGGACAAATGCTTTTTATTGCTGGATTCTCTGTGGTTTAAGTGACCGGGTTCCCAGGTGCCTGTTTACAAAAACAGAAGGAGATCATTGAACTCTCCCTGTCGAGTGACTGGAGCTGCAGGAAAGCCGAAGCAGCTGCCCCTTGAACACGGGAAGCATCCTCTAAGCTGGTGGTTCCCCATCTTAGGCAACCCATGGGGTGTTGCCTAAGACGGCAGTTCCCGGAAGGGCTTCACCACCAGCCGCGCCGGCTGGGGTTTCTGGGAGTGTCTGTCCCGGAACACCTGGGCTGCTCTGGGTTGGGGAGCCCTGCTCTAAAGCAGGGGGGGGGGCTCCGAATATTCCTGGCCAACCTGCTTATCACACTTAGCCAGCGTTGTCAGTTGTGAGACCTCCTGGGAGATGCAGCCCATGACATCCAGTGGGGGCACAGAGGGCCCCCCCCACTGCAGAGATGAGCACAGGCGCCCTCTGTGGCTGCAGCGTCCTCACAGGATGTGACCTGGCTTAGTCTCTTGCTGGCACTGCCCTGGAATAACCAGGAGGCTCAGTCTAGTGGGAGGGGTGGATGGGCTTCTGCCTCTGAACCAGGGAGCCCTTTTCTGTGCTGGGGAACTGGTGTGAGCAGAAAGACCTCTAAGTGGAAGTCTGGAGGACGTCTGGCTGAGTGCCGGCAGCAAGAACACAGCCGTGTGCACAGACCAGACCAGGCTTTGGGCCCGGGGGGTCTGCCTTTGGTTGCTGAAATTACAGGAGTTCTTGGTGAACTTTGGGCAGGACTCTCACGTCGCTCTGATAGGCACCAAGGCTTGGAAAGCTATTTCTCAGAAATAAGTTGCTCTAATCATTCAGTATAGTAACCTGCCTAAAATTCCTGCCTAAATATTTCTTAAAGTGACATTTTAAGGCAACGAGGAAGAGTTTCTTGTAACACTAGTAAATTGGCTTTGACGCACTCATGGTGTGACTCTTTTCTTACTCAAAAGGTGGGGATGGAGGCTTTGCACATGACAAAGCTTCTTGTACTTTCCTTCAAATTCTGACAGGCACTTGAGGTACACCTGAGTGCTTGCTTTTCAGTGTGAGTACTAGTTTGGCTTACTCTTTTGGCCATTGTTTGTAACATGACAACTGGTCCTTGCAGAGGTGCGAGCTTTGCCAGAGGCCGGGGGCCACGGTGGGCTGCTGCCTGGCCTCCTGCACCAGCAACTACCACTTCATGTGCTCACGGGCGAAGAGCTGTGTCTTCCTGGAGGACAAGAAAGTCTATTGCCAGCGCCATCGGGATGTCGTCAGAGGAGAGGTGAGCCCCCTTCCGGGCGGGGGGCGCGTGGTAGCGGGACTGTTCTGGGTTCCCTCGGCTCCCTCCCCCCCACCCCACTTTCTTACCGTCTGCTGGCTGGCTTGCTGCAGGTGGTGCCTGAGAATGGCTTTGAAGTCCTGAGGAGGGTCTTTGTGGACTTTGAAGGGATCAGCTTGCGACGGAAGTTCCTGAACGGTCTGGAGCCAGAGAACATCCACATGATGATCGGTGAGGCCTCAGCCGCTGGCCGAAGAAGCAGGGTAAGGGCTGGGTCTGTAACCGCTCGCCCTCACAGGACCTCTCTGGTGCCCTTTCTCTGCCGCAGGTTCGATGACCATTGACTGCCTGGGGATCCTGAATGATCTCTCGGACTGTGAGGACAAGCTCTTCCCCATCGGCTACCAGTAAGTCCAAAGCAGCAGGTGCCGCCGCCGCCGCCGCCGTGGAATCTCATGTCACGCTCTCCTCCCCCCCCCCAAGGGTCCAGCAGGGGAAGGCCAAAGCCACCCTCCCCTGGGCCAAGGGAACGGTTCTGCCAGCAGGCCTGCCCCTCGCCCTCCCACCCATGCTCTCCCTCTCTCTCCCCTCCCAGGTGCTCCCGAGTGTACTGGAGCACCATGGATGCCCGGAAGCGCTGCGTGTACACGTGCAAAATCATGGAATGCCGCCCCCCCGCCTTGGAGCCCGACATCAACAGCACCGTCGAGCACGGCAACAACCGGACGATCGCTCACAGCCCAGGACCGCTTTCGGGTGAGTCTTTGCCGACGAGGCAGCCACACAGTTGGCCGTCGGGCTTTCCTGGGCCCTGCTCTGCCTGGTGGGTGGCGCTCACCTTCCAGAAGGCAGAGGCATCCCTTTGAGGACAGCTTTGCCCCAGTGCGTAGAAGAGGGTCCCCTTGTCACCATCCCGTATATTCGCCTAGGACTCTTTCCATGGGGTGCGGCCCCTGTGCCTGGCTCAGAATGGCATTGCGTGAGCTCGGGCTGATGCTCCCCCTCCCCGAGGGCCTAAGAAGGGTGACTGGATTGGGGAGTGGCGTTCCCAGTTGAAACGGACCTGTCCCCTCCCGGGACACGCTCTGCATAGGCTTTGCTCTGTGTGGCCCAGCAGGCACATGCTACTAACCCACGGCCTTTCCCTCCCGACCCCTCTGAGCGGCTGCAGCAGGAAGACCTCGTTTAGGGCCCTCTGGGGGGGAGGGAGAGGAAGAGAGAAGGCTGCTGTGATGGAGAAGGAGACGCTGCCCCTTCCCCTCGGCCTTGCAGCTGTTCTGCTCAGACGCCTCTTGGCTTTTCCCTGATGTTCCGTTTTCCTTCTGCAGCAGACGTTCCCGCCAGGGAGGGCCAGGCGGGAGCTGCACTGGTGAGCCCTCCGCCTTCAGACCTCCTGCCGCATCCTCAGAACTGCAAGGCCTTGCGGATCCGGACACTGAGTTTTTCCCCGGCCCAGCGCTCCCCGGGCTCACGGCCGTTGCCCTCGGCAGGTCTGGCTCCCTCCCTTCCCGCTGCTCCCCTGCCCTGGCGTGCATGGCTTGCCCTCGCTGCCGCTTTCCGACGCCCGTCCCGGGGCCTCCAGCGTTGTCCTGGCTTTGGGGCTTGTGGAGAGGGGATCCCCGAAGGGGCCTTCCTCGTGCCGTCGCTGAGGAGGGCTGGGATGAATGAGAACTGGGAACTGTTCCGCTCAGAAGGCCAAGGGTGGCTGGTGCGGGTCCTTGCCGATAGCAGTCAGGCGTTTTGCCTTCGCAGAAGGCTGCATTGCGTCTGATCCCAGGGAGTCAGGCTCTGCAACAACGCACTTCCTTTCCCTTTTCTCTTTCTCCAGGGAGCCCTACTCCGATGACGCACGAGATAGTGACTGTGGGGGACCCGCTGCTTTCATCCGGCCTCCGGAGCATCGGCTCTCGGAGACCCAGTGCCTCCCCTCTCTCCCCTCAGCAGCCGAGGTCGTGGATGCTGCCGGCCGGCCGAGCAGGAGCTGCTCTCTCTAGGCACGGCACCCCCAGCACGGTTCCTGCCCTCGAGCAGGGCTCTCCAAGCGCAAAGCTCACGCCGGAGCATTCTGGGGGCGACCCAGCAGCACCCCGTCTCTCCGTCCCAGGGAGCTCTGCTCTCCCTCCCAGTTACCCGAGGCCAGCAGCCGCCAGTGGGAGCAAAGGGGCTTTTCCCCCCTCGGAGGGGGGCCCACCACCGGAAGCAGCGCCTCTCTCTGCCAAAGTGGAGAAGGGCAAACTGGTGAGCCCCAGGGACTCAAGTACCACCCCTGGGAGTTTGCACTCGGGGTCCCCTGGCGTGAGACCTGCTAGCCCAGAACCCAAGGGCAGCAAAACAGGGAAGCTTTCCGAGGCCCTTCCTGGCTTGTTTCCTTCCCAAGAGCCGGCTGTTTTTCTGCCTTTGAATCAGAGACCCCCAAAGAAGGAGCTGCAGGACCAGCCAGTGGATCCCATGCTCCAGCCGGAGAAGACCTGCTCTCACAAGGGGGATCCTGAAGCGAAGATCTCTAAGCTTCCTGGGGCCACTCAGAGGCCTCCTTCCGTGAGTGACCCCTTCGCGTCCTGTGTAGGCAGAGAGAGACGGCAGAAGGCCAAGAAGGGAGCCAAGGAGAGACACACCGGGAGGCCTTGTCCGGCATCCAGCCTTCTCCCAGCCAGCCACAAAGAAAGTGTGGAGTCAGAGTTGGCTTATTGTGCGATGGCCCCCGAACTGATTTCTCCAAGGCTCAGTAACAGCGCAAGTGGGGCTGCTGCCGAGAAGGCAGTCGAGAGCAACCCGATGAGCCAGAGGACAGCCAAGGCCTCTTTCCCGGGCGAAACAGCACCCTCCAAGGAGCTGCAGGCTTCGCAGAAGCGCACAGTCAAAGTAACACTGACTCCCCTCAAGATGGAAGGGGAGAGCCAGCCCAGGAACGTCCCAAGAGAGAGCGAGGCGGAAGCTGAGGCTGTGGAGAACAAGCCAGCTTCTGGGCCTGAGTCGGGCAACGGTGTGGCGACCCAGGCAAGCCTGGGTTGTTCCTCTGCCCCAGAAGCTCCCCCAGGGGAAGGCTACACCGGCCTCCCCACTGTCCAGGATGGCAGCAGCGGCGGAGGTAGCAGCAGCAGCAGCAGCCTGATGCTCCAGGAGGGTGCAAAAGCCCAGGAGGACGGGGCCTACAAGCGGCGGTACCCTCGGCGCAGTGCCCGGGCCCGGTCCAACATGTTCTTTGGGCTCACCCCCTTGTACGGGGTGAGGTCGTATGGCGAGGAAGACCTTCCCTTCTACAGCAACTCCCCTGGCAAGAAACGGGGGAAGAGGTCGGCCGAGGGGCAAGTGGACGGCGCAGATGATCTGAGCACTTCGGACGAGGACGACCTCTACTACTATAACTTCACCAGAACGGTGGTCTCGAGCGCCGAGGAACACCTTGCCCCTCACGGCTTGTTCCGTGAAGAGGAGCGCCTCAGCCTCCCCAAAGTCTCTCAGCTGGACGGTGTGGATGACGGGACAGAGAGCGACACGAGCATCACCGTGACCACCACCACCACCATGAGGAAAGTCAGCTCGGGGACCAAAAGAAGCGGCAAAGAAAACGGGACGGAGAGCTTGAAGCTGGATCGGAGCGAAGGTGGTGGAGAGAAAGCCCCGGCGAGCAAGACCTCGGCCGGCCATAAAGCAGCGGAGGCGAAGATGGAGAACTGCCGCGTCAAGGTCCCGGGCCAGGATTCTTTGGAGGCTCAGCTGAGCTCCTTGGAGGCCCCCGGCCGCCGGCCTCGCACGAGCGCCGAGCCGTCGGACAAGAACCTTCTGGACACCTTCAGCACGGAGCTGCTCAAGTCCGACTCGGACAACAATAACAGCGACGACTGCGGGAACATCCTGCCTTCCGACATCATGGACTTTGTGCTCAAGAACACGCCTTCCATGCAGGCCCTGGGGGAGAGCCCGGAGTCCTCCTCCTCGGAGCTCCTGACCCTGGGCGAAGGGCTGGGCCTGGACAGCAACCGGGGCAAGGACATGGGCCTCTTCGAGGTCTTCTCTCAGCAGCTGCCGGCCACAGAAGCCGTTGACAGCAGCGTCTCATCCTCTATCTCGGCAGAGGAGCCCTTTGAACTGCCCTTGGAGCTCCCGTCTGATCTCTCGGTCTTGACGACTCGGAGCCCCACGGTGCCCAGCCAGAATCACGGGCGGCTGGCCGTCATTTCCGAATCCTCCCTCCCTTCCTCAGGGGAGAGATCGATGCTCGCGTTGCCTTCCACGGAGTCCGCAGAGAAGAGGGTGACCGTCACAGAAAAGCCTTCGTCCAACGAAGGAGAGCCTGCACTCTTAAGCCAGCAGGGGGACCCAAGCCCCGATGGGCCTCTGACCCCAGACTCCTTTATTCAAGGCCACATGGAAGCGGAGCACATAGCCAGCCCCACCTGCGGAGCTGGGGAGCCAGGCCATGGGGCCAGCCAAGACTTGGCCCGGAACAGCGGAACACCTGGCCTCCAGGTCCCTGTTTCGCCCACCCTCCCGCTTCAGAATCCCAAATACGGACCGGCCGCCACCACCGACAACCCCGCCGGCCCCTCCCAGATCTCCAACGCCGCTGTGCAGACGGCCCCTCTCCACCTCAAGGCCCCGGCAGCCGAGAAGCTTCTAGTAGTCAACCAGAACATGCAGCCCTTGTATGTCCTTCAGACACTCCCTAATGGCGTCACACAGAAGATTCAGCTGACCTCAGCTGTCGGCGCAGCCCAGGGGGTGATGGAGGCGAGCGCTTCCCTGCTGGGGCCCATGGGTTCGGCAGAGCTGGCCCTGGCAGCAGGCCTCAATCCCAGCCTGTCCCCCCAGCCCCTCTTCCCACCACCCCCCAGCAAGGGGCTGCTGCCGATGCCCCACCACCAGCCCCTGCACTCCTTTCCGGCCACTTCCCAGGGCGGCTTCCCCCCCACCCTCGGGAGCCCAGCCCCAGGCCTCCTGATCGGGGTGCAGCAGCCCCCGGACCCCGAAGTGAGTCAGAGGGCTGACCTGGGGCCCCCAGCCCCCGGCCCCACCCCTCCTTCCGGGCTGAGCAAGAAGAGGCCGATCGCCCGCCTGCAGGCGCGGAAGCCCAAGAAGCTGGCGCCCTCGGACGTGGCCCCAAACATGGCGCCAATCAGCTTCGGGCCGCCCCAGCTCCCCGGCCATCCCGGCTTGCTCGACCTGGGTGCCGCCGGGAACTCCTCGTCCCATCGGACCGTCCCCAACATCATCAAGCGGTCCAAGTCGGGGGTCATGTACTTTGAGCAGGCCTCCCTTCTGCCCCAGGGGGCAGCGGTTGGGACCCCTCCCGGCGTGGCCGGGCCAGAGAGCAGCCACCTTCCCTCAGGGCCCGGGCTCTCCTCTGTGCTGAACGTGGTGTCCATGCAGACGTCGGCAGCGGCGGCCGCCCCCCTGGCCACAGGCCCCTCCATGGCTGGGGGGCACGGGCTAGGCCGGGGGGGCTCCGTGGCCCTGGCCAGCTCGGGGGGGCTGCCCGGGAGGCCTGACATGGGGCCCCTTGGCAGCCTTCTGATCAAAGCCACCTTGGAGCAGAGCCTGGGGCTGCCCGGGGGGCCTGACATGGGGCCCCTTGGCAGCCTTCTGATCAAAGCCACCTTGGAGCAGAGCCTGGGTCTCCCAGAGCATCAGGCGGCCACCACGCCCTCGGGGGCTGGGAGGTTTCCACCCCTTGGCAAGACCTCATTGGTCCAGCGCCCCTCGGCAATGGTGGCAGCCTCAGGGGCCGGCGTCTTGCCTGCTCCGCAGACGCCGGGCGTGGCTGTGGAGTCAGAGAGCTCTTACCCGCTGGGGCCTCTGGCGCAGCACCTCGTCGGCAGCGAGGGTGGGGCTGGGCGTCCCCCCGTGGAAGGTCCCCCCATGTCCTGCTTCCCCCAGTTGGTGGATGTGGTGAACCCGGCCACTGTGGACCAGATCAAGACTTCCTCCTCCTCCTCCCCCCGGCTGCCCCCCGGGAGCTCCCCCTCGACTGAGCTGGTCCCTGGAAACTCCATGCGAACAAAGCCCAAAGGGAAACGGCTCCAGTCCTCATTGGACAGCAAAGGCTCTGGGAAGAAGCACAAGGGCCCCCCCTTCCGGACGAGCTCCCCAGAGGCGCACGCAGCCCCACAGAGCCCAGCCGTGGCCACTCAGGATGGCAGCAGGAGGTGAGTGGTGGGCCTTTGGGGAATCCTCTGGCTTCCAGCTAGGCGGCCATTCATTCATTCATTCATTCATTCATTCATTCATTCATTCATTCAGTTATTTGTTGCTTTTCTGCCCAGTACTTAAAAGTGCCCACAAAAGAGAGGTCTAGCCGTAGGAAATTTGAATGGTAGCCTTTTAAAAGACCAGTAGTACGTGGGGGAGATTTTTGCCATCCTGGTTGAGGATCTGGTCTGGGATTCTTGAGCCACCTCTGTGGGTTTCGTGCCGTCTTTTCCCATCCAGCCTACCAACTGTTGCAGTTCAAAATTGTTGTTGTTTAGTCGTTTAGTCATGTCCGACTCTTCATGACCCCATGGAGCAGAGCACGCCAGGCCCTCCTAGCTCTCCTGTCTTCCAACATACTGCTGCTTTTCTCCTGTTAATGGCCTGGAAAGCCACAAGGTTGGGCTTCCTGCAGGAGCAGAGATGGTGGTCTCATCTTGGCCTCTATAATAGTTGCTTCCTTCTCTATATATAACAGTGAGCTCGGCTTAGAATGGGTTCGGTCCACAGACCTCGTGCTTTGTAAGAGCCCTGAGTCTTCTGTTCAGCTCTAAACCCTCTCTCTCTCTCTCTCTCTCTCTGTGTGTGTGTGTGTGTGTCTTCCCCCCCCCTCAGGTTTCCTGCCTCAAAGCCACGCACGGAGGCGGCTGCTAGCATTGACCCTCCACCCCCAAAAGCATCCGAGTAAGTCCCTCAGCTTCTTGGGTCCAGTGGTGGGATTCGTGCATTCCAGAGGGAGGGAGGGAGGGAGGGAGAAGGGCTGGCATGCCAAAGTTGCCATGTTGCCCTCTGCTCTGAGAGGAAGAGATACCTCTCCAGGGCGCCACTGGATCAGAGGACCTACCTGGTGGGTTTTAAATTGCCAGGTCCTGAATGTGGGGAGGTGGGGGACAACGCCATGTTTACTCCACACCGTCGTTCCACAGCAGCAGAGCAGCCAGCTGCATGTTCTGGATTTCACCCGGGGGACGCTCTGTGCCTGGGCGTTCCAGAGCCTGGTGGGGCTGCAAGGTCCCACATGCTGATGAGCACAGTGGGTGGTGCGGTGCAGGAGAGGGACCTGCTTGGCAAGCCTCTGGATCGCCTCCTGACCACCTCCCGACCATCCCAGCATGGCAGGCTTCTTCTCAGCTGAACCGAGACATCTACTGTCCTTCCTCTGACCAGCAAGGACAGGATTCTCCCCTTACTGTCCTCCTTCTCTCCTCAGGCAGCCCACGTCTCTCCTGGAAGCACAACAGGCACAGAATGCGACCAGCCAGCAAGACCACAGAGGTAGGTGGGGAGAAACCGGGGGGGGGGACTCTGTACCCCTCTTGGCATTCTGCCTCAGAAGGGGACACCTGGATTGGCCCCGACAGAGCCTTTGCCACCGCTTGGCCCCTCCTGGTGCCACTTCGGAGGAAGGCTGATCGTGTCTGTCTC